ATGCATTCTCGACTCAGGAGACTTACTTATTAAAAAAAAAACGAACAATTGAATGACACAGTAATATCAAGACGAACAACTAAGAACATATGCTCACCTGACAACGAAGAAAAAAGAATATCTAATTATATGACTATGGTATATGAACGGATAAGAGATCGAAAATAAAATTAAGTATTAAAAGTTGTCTGATTAGCTAGAATCGATTAATTGTTTCTTTTTACTAATTATGAAACAACAAAGAAATGAAAGTGCAATAAATAGACTTGAAATTTGCAATTATCATATAGCACAGAAATTCTCACAATAAGTTCAGTTCTATTAAATATTACATAAAACGATTACACTAATGTATTAGTTTATATATATAATTATAAATTTGACACAGTACATAATGATAAATATTAACAAATCTAACAATCGTTTCTTGCAGAAGATCTCTGCTAATATAAAAAGGAAAAAACATATACATATATATATATATATATATATATAAAGCATTTTCTCTTTCACGTAATCAATCAAATGCAATTTTTTCAATGCAAAAAGAAAAAGAAATTGGTAAATCGAGCCGAATTTAACATAGAGATGGTTTCTATATCTTATATAACAGCATCGTAGAGGCAATACCCGATCAATTATAGATTTCCTGGTTGGGCCGAGCGTGTGTCCTCATTTTTTCTTGCTTTTTGATGAAATGCTCATTCTTTTGCTTTTTTTCTCGGTCTCAAGAGTAATAAGACATCATTGTCGTTCTTCGAATCACATTAGGGAAAGACAATTTTTTGACATTTGTTTAGTAAGTTTTCTCTCTTGCAATACTCAGTGTCTGAAATGCATTTAGACTTCGTTTTCTACTCGAGAAAGAAACATTATTAATCATTAAAAATAAAAAGAGGAAAATCGTTAAGAAAAACAACAGTCGTAGCATGTTCACAATGATCATAATGATAATGATGATCAATCGTGTTTGTTCCGGAATAGTACTTGGATGAAGGTTAACACTACATTCGCTATTGAGCATTTCACAGAAATGAATGGATGTCCGGATGTTAACAGAAATAGAAAGCATTATTAAAGACCCAATTACTAGGATAAACTTCATTTCATATACTTTAAGAAGGAAAAAAGTACCCTTATTAGTCTTGAATTGAATACAATATGATTTATATTCCGCGGGGAACATATACAGTCTTCTTTTTAGTCTGTCAAAGTAAACAAGCAATATTTTGCTGTACATTCCAACGACATGATTATTTGTTTTTACTAACAGTAAAACATTTAATAATATTAAGTAATTTTGTTGTTTACAAGATTAAGAACGTGAACGATGAATATTTGGCCAATAAACAATAGAAGATGTTTTATTTGAAAGTAAAAAAAGAATTCTATACTAGTTGTACGCTTTGAATGATTTTTATTTCTATGAGAGAAAAACTATTGAAACTGTAGAAGCCGATCAAATTATTCGACTATAATTCATTGCTTTTCCCTCGATGTAAACTATTAAAAAAATATTATTAATGATGCACGTTTTTTTTTTTTAATTTTATTGCAACTTGAAGAGTTCATAATATCGGAGCAATGATTATCTAATAAAAAGTCGTTTTTTCCCAAACAAAATACGATTATTTAGACGGGGACAGAGTAAACGATTCAGATTGAATAAATGTAAAATAATCTGAAATATGTATTTCATTTGAAAAACAAGATACAAACATTTTTCTACTATTTTATTTGTCTTAATATTTTACTGGAACCATCTATGAAAGTTTTGTTCTAGAAGCAAAAACCGCTTTCATAAAAGTTTATTGTTTAGATTCATGATTTATTTCAGTGATTGAGTTGGATAGACAACTTTTGTGCGTGTACGTGATGAAAAAAAAATGAAACGAACTGATTTATTTTTTCTTCTAAATCTAGTATTAGATTTGTTCATCGAACAATTCGATTTCACTCTTTGAACAAATAAATCTTCACTGTTTATTGTGGCACATAGCCTTAGGATAGGGTAGAAATAATGAATGATTGAGAAGATTTTGTTCGATATTCAATGTAAAAACAATTTATCACTCCTATCACAAGAACATTTGCAACAATGTTCAGATGTAGTTTGTAAAATCTAGTTCAATATAATTTCTACGTAGGAAATCATTGTGACTGAAAATAGTTTTCAGTTGAAATAGTCTGTGCGAAACAAGACAAGACTAATGTAAAACAAAAAACGTTCGCTGATCTTTTTAATAATATATTCAAAGAATATGTAGATTTTTTGTATTGGTATTATTTTTTCTTTTTTTGCATATTTTCCTATTACGCGTGACGAAACCGTCAAACAAAAAAGATATTAAAGCAATTCTCCTAGGTTTTTCTCAATAATAAATATAATTACATATTTGAAGTCCAAAGAATCGACGGAAAATTTCAAAAATATTCTAGTTAGAAATCATCGTCGATGAGTATAGTATTTCATCAATCGTATCAATATAGAGATTAATCAGACGGAAGACAAATCAAATGTAATGGTTTGAATGGAATAACACCGGAAATCTTTTGAAAGAAGCTCAGATTTGTGAGCTTTGAAAGTTAAAAGGGCATCTTTTATTATATCGGAAGTGACACTCTTCCTGATTCACTTTGTGAATACAGATTAATAAAAAGCATTATCTATTGTTGATCTTAGACGCTGAGAAATGTACCTGCATAAATTTATGGGTTTTCTATTTTTAATGAATCTATTTGATGCTTCGAAGAAAATTCATTTAAAATCTGAAATAAAATAATTTCATGTGCTTTTCTTTATTTATCTATTTAAATTGTACAAATAGCATTTTACTGCCATGAATGAGTTAGGCCTTTTCTTATTATTGATTCCATGTCTATTAATCGTGTTCCGTGACTTCGGATGGAACTTTATGAAAATGAGAAAGAAGAATCTAGAGACTATACAAGTAGAAACAGCTCTCTGCATCTTATATAAAGAAAATCTTTGAATATCTTTTAATCCCTCTTTAATCTCTTGAATTCTACCAATATAATCAATAAAAAAAGTTCTTATTGAGCACATTTTCGCAACCTTTTGCTATCACCACTAGTGCTACTAGCCATTGAAATGGAAACTGACCTCACCGTTTCATCAATAAAATTGTTGAGTTTTGATTGATATGGAAATGCAACATCACCGGAATTTGCTTTCTGTATAAAAAGAAAGCATAAAAGAACTTTCCAGTTAGTGATGAATATTCATTTCTAATGGATAAAAACAATTATGGCAACCTTTGTAAAACAGAATGCGGCTTCTTAATTTTTTTCAAAGATTTTTTTTCTAAAAATATCATATATACGATGAGTCGTAACAAAGGACTATGATAAATAAAAATTTGTGTTTTCTTTTCTTCATTTTGTGCATGTATATGTATTTATTGTTATAATTTTAGGTAAACGATGATGCTGGTTGAATCAATGTACTGAGATAATATACATACTAATATATTTACAATTATAATATTTCTGTCGATGCCTTTGCTATAATAAGATCTTGCTAAACTTGAAAAAAAATCAGTTGAGATGAAGATCGTGAAAATATTATCAACAACAGCATTTTTGAACAGAACATCATCATTTTATTTTTTGTCACTGCTATCTTCGAATTTAAAGTATAAGCTTCGTTTAGAAATTCGAAGTTCATGAAGTTCAATGAAATTGAATGGAATTCACTGTTTAAAAATTCACAATATAATTGTCTTTGTTAATTTATATAGCTCCCACAGTAGTATTGCATATTTTAGTCTTTTCAAATTCAAATTATCCTAACCATGAGATGTTTGAAGCGTCTAGAATTCTATCACGATCGATATTGAATATCAAATTTCTGTATGATAAGTACTATTAACATTCCACTTATGCTAGAATTTTTCTATTAGCAAATTCCATTTACTTCTGAACTTGTTACGACAAATTCCAAGAAAGGCTCTAATGGTAAGCAAGTTTCAGATTACTTTCTAATTTTTCGGAAGTTTCCAGATTGATATTTGATATTTTACTCGGTCAACCGACGACGATAGAAAGAACTCAAACGCTGTTCCATGATTTAGACCAGTTGTTGTTTAACAGTTGGATACTGTATAATATATGTTGCTCAAAAAGAAAATGATATAATCAACCTTCTTCATTCACTTCTTTCAAATTCTCATTTCTAACAATGCCAGACTATTGCTTTCAAACCGGTGACCCTATTATAGATTTCAATGTGTTTGTGATGTATCTGTTGGAATGAAGGAGTCCATAGTCTATCTAACTTGAAAAATAGATAAAGAATTCAATACGAAGTAATGTTATTCAGAGTGAACTAAATATCATTTATTGTTTGCACTTTAATCTACTATCGGAAAAGTTCATCGTGATTCATTTTGTTCTGAATAATACTTTTTCAAAGCTTTGATTATGGCATCAGATGATCTAATGTTTCGATGTGAGAATGAAATCTGAAATGCTGAATTTTTCATGAAAACATATTAAAAAAGAGTGTTGATATACAATTGTTGTTATCTGGTTTTAACTGATCAGTCAGTATATTATCTTTATATCAAGAAAAAACATCTCTAATGATAACGAAAATAAAAATATAAAAACAATTTGTCGACTTTATTTTCTTTCATTCGCTCGCCCCTCCCCCTCAGCCACTCACAGAAAAGTGAATTTTGGTGAAATTTATCGATTGCGTGATGTATTGCTCGTTAGATAGAGCACAATTTGTACTTTCAAATGTGCTAAATGTACGCAAAGTAATCAATTAACATTTTCATTAGTTTTACAAAATTATAGGCAGTATAAATAATTCAATTTATGAGTAAGTTTTAAAGTGTGAATTTCACATAGATATGTCTTTGCTATCCGGCATGGATTTGAAATAACCGTAACATCTAGAGGTAGCCAATGCTAGCCACGTAGATACAAATTCCAATAATGATACCAATGCCAGCCAAAGTGGTAAAGGCGTTCTATATTGCAGTGACTGTTGATAAACTTTGAGCACCTGCTGCATCACCTGCCATTTTGCGCTGTTGTACTTGGGACGACAACATCGCTCCTATGAGACCAAATACAAGACCACAACAGAAGATATTGAAAATTGACCAAGCCATGTAGTCATTGATATGAGCCGTGCCCGAAGGAAGCCCATAAACTGCGAAAGCACTCATGGGTTGCGGCTGCATGTAGATAGTATTCGGATTGACAGCACATTGAACAGATACAGAGCTTATTGGTGGTGGTAGCGATTGGCCGTATGGTTGAAATACGGCGGTATTCGAGAATCCGTAGCTTGGAGGAGGTTTGTGATATACTGGAGGTTCACTAGCTTCAGTTGTGTTGTAGCCGTTATTTTCTGTGTGCATATTTGTTAGCTTTTTTAAACTCTTAATAAAGTAACTTGTGACTTCTTACCTTTTTTTTTATACTTCTTCTGATAGCAAGATAAGTATAGTCATGACACCACGTTGACGACTAAGATAGATAAGCAAAATCTTTCAAATAGGACAAAACTCATTCGTTGTTACAATAAGCTGATCATCCTAAAAATTAAATTAAACTAGTGGATTTTAAATGTCTTCACACGTTAAATATCTTTATTATAAATTTTGTACAAGAATACCTTTCAGTTTTGTTCAGTTCGATTGTGGTGGCCGATGTATGTAATACAACATGATTGGTTAATCCTTCTTTCAGTTCATGAATAATTGCAAATACGGAGGAAAATTTAACTGCTATGAAACAACAATGAACCAGTGGTGTTTAACAAAAGTCGACGAAAAAAAAATGTACGAATTTAATGGGTGTAGATCATTATTACTATTCGATAACTCAAAGCCCAATATAAACTAGCACGCTACATTCACATTGAAACACATCTCTATCTAAACTTACTCATAAAGATTCAGTATCATAATTATTAAAAATAGGCAACAATGAAAATGTAGCACTACTTTTGGAAAAAATTGGTAACGAGTGAACAAAGCAAAAGAGATCGTAAGCAATCATGTCTATTTTCATATTATAGACAAGAAGACGATTTGAAAAGTGTTATTTATAGAAACTGTGATTTCAATGTCGAGAGTAAACCCTTTATGACATGTATACAATAGATTGTTCATAACAGAAAGCGTACAAAAGTGAATTCTCGCTACATATAGTAGCATCTACAATTTATTTTCTCTCTCCCTCTCTCTCTCTCTCTCTTTCTGTATATATATATATATATATCGTATAATATCAGGTAATTATAAGCGTCAATCAGGTATATCATAAAGAATTCAAATAAAAATATGTTACCAATAATACAGTGAACAGCTTCTGTGTCAAATATTTTATCTCGGCAAAGACTACATCTCTAATATCAATCAATAAAAACATTTTTATTAATTTTTTTAATCTAAACTGAAGATAACTGAACAATATCTATTATTTTATAATAAATCTACTAAACTTCAATTCTTTTTAAATATTGCTACAATATGATCAGTTATTGGAAAAAATAGTAACAAACGAATAGAAAAATATTAGTTGTATCTTGTTTTCTAATCATGTTTTATTTACACGGTGAAACGCTTTCTAAGGTTTTATTTAAAATAAGTTTTCGCAGCAAACGTATAATATCTGTATTTCAGACTAAGCATTCTGTGTATGTGTATATATATATCTATAATAGTTGATAAAAATGTTGGATCACCAATAAAACTTGAAAAAAAAAGAGCTTATGGAAAACGCACACTTTCATGTAATTATAAAAGTAATTGCAAACCAAAATCAACTTTTTAGACGAACTAATGCAATATTTCACAACCTATTAAAAGGCGTACTAAAATGAAATTATTTTTAAATTCTAGTAATAAGATGAGACACATGTGATTTTTCTCACACAATGATAACAGTATAAGCACCCGCCTGATCCATCACTGTGTAATACATATTTTTCTAGTTTTGTATATAAGTTTGAAAATTGACTATTTTCCTTAAGAAGCACGATAACACGACACAAATAAAGTAAATATGATTGCTGCGCCTATTATCGTGGCATATTTTGCTGCGTGGTCAATTTATGCACGATCATATTTTGTTGCCGATATACCTGGAGATAAAATTACGCACATAAATTATGCATTCGCTAATATTGGTTCAGACGGACGATTGGCATTGGGTGATGCATGGGCCGACGTTGAAAAAGCTTATGCAGGTGATACATGGGATCAACCATTGCGTGGAAATTTCAATCAATTACTTAAATTGAAACAAAGATATCCTCATCTTCAAACATTGATTTCTGTGGGTGGATGGGTAAATTTTATTTGTTTTGTTTTAACTTAAAATTACAGAGGTCTTTAGACATGGTCTGGTAAATTTTCTGATGTTGCTTTAACAACTGCAAGTCGTTCTAAGTTTGCTCAATCGTGTGTTGAATTTGCTCAAAAATATAGTTTTGATGGAATAGATCTTGATTGGTACAGATTTATAGTAGTTTTCTGATACGGTGTGATATGATGTTTTTTTATATTTTTCAAGGGAATATCCTGTATCTGGTGGTCTTTCTGGAAATATTGTTCGACCAGAAGACAAACAAAATTACGTACTTTTACTCAAAGAAATTCGTGAACAATTAGATACAGCTGGTAATGTCGATGGCAAAAGATATTTATTGACAGTGGCGTAAGTTAATAAATTTCTATTGTTTGAAATATTTTATTCTATTATATATCTATATATATTGATAAAGAACTGGTGCAGGTACCGAAAGAATTGGTGATATGGATTTGGCTGGTATGTCTACCTATCTTGATTGGATTAATGTTATGACCTATGATTTTCATGGTAAGCTCTATTTTTCTGATCACAGACTGATATATACTTGTATAAAACATTAACAGGTGGTTGGGATACTAAAACTGGTCATAATGCTCCTATGTATAAAAATGATGCGGAAACAGCCACTGATATTTCTCCATCATTCATCAAATCGAGATACAATTGTCATGCAGCTATTCAAGCTTACATTGCTGCTGATGTTCCGCGTTCGAAACTAATTATGGGTCTCGGCTTATATGGACGTGGTTGGCAAGGTGATATTTATTCTCCTCATACGCATATTATGAATCAGGTTGAATGGATTTTGATTTTTCTTATGTAGGAGTTACTAGTACGGCTCAAAATGGATTTTCACAACCTGCTTCCAGTCAACTTCCAATGGGTACATGGGAAAATGGAATTTTCGATTACGATCATTTGAAGAAAAGCTTTTTACCTACATATACTCGCTATTGGGATGATGCTTCTAAAGTACCATTTCTTTTTAATCCATCAACAAGTATATGGATTAGTTATGATGATCTTGAATCTATATCACTCAAAAACAATTATATAAAGCAAGAACAATTGGGTGGCGCCATGTTTTGGGAATTAAGTGGCGACCGTAGTGCAGAACTTGTTGGTGCTACGTTCTTAGCATTAACAAATGGTCAAACACCACCACCAGGAACCAATCCACCTACTGGACCAACTCCGTCTACAACTCGAACAAGTACACCTAGTTCTACTGTTTCTCTATCAACTACTCCAGCTATCGGTGGGAATGATCTTCCATGGCAACCACACACAGCTTACAAAATAGGTGATAGAGTACAATATGTAGGTAATACATATCGATGTATTCAAACACATACATCGTTACCAGATTGGACACCAGTCAATGTTCCCGCACTTTGGCAACGTATTTAAATTCTCTCGTTTTGTTATGAAGTTTTATACAAAATAAACATTTCGAGAAGATGAGAGGCGAAAATCATTTTTGATTTGTACTCTATACTATTGAAAACACTTCTGTAATTATTTATGTTGAAAGATAATAGAAGTAGAGTTGTAAACCGAGCGGCTGAGCCACTGCCGCCGTCGCCGATGGACCAAAACATTTTTAAATTTCTAGCCGCCACCGTTATATAAACAGGAATACTAAATCTTTGAATATTTTTGATACTCAGAAACAGTCTTCAGGATTCTTCTGATCAAACTCCAAATAAGAACGTTCTATATTATCAGTTTTCTCTTTTCTGTTACATAATTCTCAAAGCTACGAAAATTTTTTAAAATAGCTTCTAAAAATTTTGAGCCGCCGGCACTGATGGGCTAAAGAGAATTTTTATTTTCGAGCCACTGCCGCCGCCGCTGACAGAGGCATCGGCTTACACCTCTAAATAGAAGGCAGCATATTTATCAGGCAATACATGTACGAGTAAATGGTTTCAAAGGGAAAATTTATCTATCAAAATCATATCACAATGTTTTCACTCACCATATGCTGATCAAACTGTGTGTAAATATTTTTATCAATTGCTTGTGCTTGTTGGCCTTGACTTGCACTCTTTAAGTCAATATTGAAATACAATTAGTATGCTAAATACTATTGCCTAAACTTAGACAAATAAACATTATTTCTAGATGCTGTATTGTTTTCAGAAACGAATAGTAATCGTATTTTTCTATTCATTTAATAACATGTATAATTATCACACAAGATTGCCAATTTTTACATGGATATTGGAGTTCACACAGAGAAAATATTTAAAAAAAAGAATGTCTTGATCAATATGTATGTTGACAGTTTTTGTTTACGCATCGATAAATTGACTTCATACAAATTGCTGACGGACATCGATTTAGATCTAATTATTCGATGAGCAACTTGTTTATTTTGAAATATTACAGTTTTCAGGTATGTTGCTTACGTTGAAATTTGAAATATTTTCATCATATAAAATAGATTTATACTAGATATCTTCTGAAAGTATGTATCTCGTTCAAGATAACTCCAGATTTCTTGCTCTTTGAGATTTTACTAATGAGAATTCTGCAACTTATACTAAAATCAATCTGTTAATATGTCTTTTGCTAATTTCTGTGCATTACCGACTTAAAATTCTTTTTAACATTTATTTTTTCTAATATTCAATAATGAATAAGTATACTTTTAGAATTATTTTAATTTAACATTTAAATTTAAATGAATTCAACATTAGCTTTCTGTCCATTTAGTCAATTATCAATCATTTTTATCCAAGTTTCATAGTATATAAAAAGAAAAGAAAACGATTCATTTGCAGTTAAGAATATATTCATTTAATTGACTTCTTTTTCTACAAGAATAAATTCAGATATAACAAGAGATACACACAATTAACTAGCGATTTATGAAGACGAAAATACATAGAAATAATAATGTACAGAGACTAATATGTCAAATTATCTGATAGAGAATTTTACATACGAAATCGTCTGTAGAAGAAAAAAAAATACTTAGAATTATAAATTAAATGTAAAAAATATTAAACTTACTTTGGTGCTACTGCTGGACCCTGACGATACGAGAGTGATTGCGTATTTGTCTAAATAAAATAAAATAAAATCTATTGCATTCAAAAAACCTTGACTTTATTTTACTTCCTGCATATTTCTTTCTTCACTTTGGCATCGTTTATGTAACATTAGAGGATTGGGCGGCGATGTACATGTTAATCTTTCAACATCGTTAAAAATAACATTAACACCACCCGTGCTTGATGCAAGAACATCGCCCTAATAGAAACAAAAACAAAAACAAACATAAAATTCAAATTAATTTAACCTAAAAAAAAGGAAAAAATTGTAATCAATTTTACTTTAACAAAATCAGTAACAATTTCGCCTTGTGCATCGAGATTTTGATGTGTTAACACATATTTTGTTGTTCGAATTATTTCTTCTTTAGCTGGTGCCTGTTGAGTGCATACTTTTTTATGAAATTTCGGTTGAAGAAGAGTCTCTATATTAAAACGAAACATTCATTTGAGACAGAAAAAAATAGCTATGCTTTTTACCTGTTTGAATTGTTCCTAGTGGACGATGTTCGAGCCAAATTTCACTTAATGAACGTGATCTTCGATGTTGCTGTCTTGGATGAGCAACAACTGCATGTCCACTTCCATTTTCAATATTCATCGGTTCAGTATTAGGCGTATGTGGAGTATTAGGACGCCGACGAGCAGTTAAATTCAATGTTGGTGAATTATTATTATTGTTATTATTATTATTATTATTATTATTATTATTGTGAGATATGATCATTTCTACACGATGGTATTGCTGTTGTTGATTTTGATTTTGATAAACATGTTCAGTTAGATTTCTAGAAAATTATTTCAATATATTTTCTTTATTTGTAAATTTAAGCATATTTTACTCGGGATTAGTATGTGAAGATGTGGAATTAACTGGAATTAAAAATTGTTCATTGGTAATGTTATTACTTCCAGCCATCGATCGAATGATATTTAATTTATCATCATGTTGACGTTCAAGTTCACGCATTTGGTTTTCTCTATTCTTTATATCATTAATCTAAATAGAGAGAAAACAAAATTTTCATGTATTTTTACATTGAAGACATAACTTGCATAGTGTTGTTCAATTTCATTTAATTTAACTTTCATTTTATTTTCAAAATCATTTTTATCTTTTCGTCGTTCAGACTTCAATGATTTTATTTCAATATTTCGTTCATCAATCTAATTTTCAGAAAATATAAATGAAAAAAATGAGACTTTTACCTTCAATGAATAATATTAAAAGAAGAACGTACCTGTGTTTTGAGTACTTTATTTTCACGTTCAATTTGATTTGTTGTCTTATACAAATCATTTTGTGACTTTTCCAATAGTTTAATTCGTGTTTGTAATTGTCGGACTGTTTTTGTTTGTTGTTCATTTTCTTTTGACAAATCATCATGATTTGATATGGTTGAATCATAATCAGATACTAATTCGAATGTAAATTTACGTAAGAATTCTTGTTGTTCTTGAATAAGCTAGTAAAAAAACAAATATATTAAAATAATAAAACTGCAAAAACAATTTGTTTTATACCATATTTAATCGGTGTCGTTCTTCGATACGTCGTCGTAAATGTTCTTGAAGATTTAAAATAGCTTCATCATCACTAACTCCACCCAAGAGCGAGTATTCAAGCGGTGGAAATGGAGAAATTAATGCTTGAGCACTATGTAAAAAAAAGCAGATTTGTAGAATTCTGTAAAATGAAGAATATGAAAATGAGACGAATAGGATAGCAAATAAACGTGCACTAAATCATCGATGATGACTATGAAATCAGCTCTGTTGGTTTTTCTTAGTATTAGCGTATTTTATTGATAGGAAAATAGTTGATCATCATCATTGGAATTTATTTTCCACGTAGCAACTGTATTAGTTTTAACAATAAACTTTGACAATAGTTCTCAGTATAGAATCATTATTATATCAGCAAGTAGTCGAAATTATATATTATGAATATTCATGCTTGTTGCATTCATTGATATACTGAATTCGATTTTAGTTGACTCGTATCTAGGATAATATTTGATACATCAAATTCATTATAATCAATAGAAGAATGCAAGTTAGTAAGTATACTAAACATAGATATTCCTAGGTAGCAATAGCCTTAAATGTCAAATAGATATTAGTGTCGATGAAAAAGTTAGAAATGTATAGAAACACTGCTATTTAAAATATCCGATTCGAAATTTTTAGAATTTGATTATCGAAAAGCAAAAATTAATATTCATCAGAAAAAACAACGTTCAAAGCATTTAAATATTGATTGCTATGCTATTCTAAGACATCATTCTATTTTATCCATTTGTGAGAAGAAAAACCTGAATTAAAGTTTCTGTTCTAGTGTAATATTGACATTACTTGAATTCAGTAAAAAGTACTGCTTGCATATTCTGCTGCTGTTGATTGTCGATATCTCGTAAAACAGCAGCACGAGTAGTTGTTTTTGGTAGAACTGGAGGTGGTGGTGGAGGAGGAGGCAAAGAACGTGGTACCATAACATCTTTTGTTAATTCACCAAATTTAAGTGCATGCTAGAAGTTTAATTACTGAAAATAAAAACACGTTAGTCATTAATTGACTTACTTGAATTTCTTCATAACCATCAACAGTCGGATTAACGCAAAGTATCATTCGTATTCGACCTTCACCATCAAAGTAACTCTTGAAGAAAGATGTTAATTTTGATTCACGATATGGCACCATCTATATCAATAAGTACGGTGACTCTTAATGAGAAATGAAGAACGAAAAAAAAAAATTTTACCTTGCTTGTACTTTGTGCTTGATTTTCACGTAAAACTTCAAAACATTGTCGAAGAACCATTAATGATGAATTAATATTGCCTAAAGTAAATTTAAATTTAAAATAATGAATTAAACGTGAAAAAAACTACTAGACTTACTTGCTTCTTTGACTCGTTCACCAACAGTTTTAGCTCGATTAACACGTTCACTACCAGCTAAATCAACTAAATGAATAGTGCTCACTGTTAGATCATCTTTTGTCTATAGATAAATAAAAACGAGAGATTATTTTGTATATTTTCTAGAGAGTAGCAATTCGATATACAAGTGATGTTGGTGGAATATCAGTTTGAAATTGAACCAGACGCATTGATAGAACACTATGTGAACGACTTGATTCAGTGTTCAATTGCGTATGAGCGATACGTCGTCGTTTTAAACCCATATTAAGTAAATCAATAGCTTCTTCACTGGTACGTACTTCAACTTCTTTGACATCTTTTATATAGGGACGACCACGGTTATCCTCACGTAATTGTTTCGATTGTGGTGCTCTAGAAGAGAGTCATTTATTTTCTAATTTATCATCAATCATCTTACTTATTAAGAATATCATCATCGAATAAATCATAAATATAGTTATTATATATTTCAACAAATGTCACAAAGACAAAGTACGAGCAATTTTCATTTAGTTGTGGGTTCCATAATGATGTTGTATCTAATGTACGTGGAGTTGATGACTCTGGATTTCTATATAGAATCATGATATTTGAGTTCGAATCAATGCAATGTTGTATCATACTTGAAACGTTGATTATTACCGCTTCTAGCCATTTGAAGTTCTCGACGTTGTCGTTCGAGTAAAATATCAGCGTCACTTTGAATTTCATAACTATTTTGTCGATCAGAACGTAGAAGCTAAAAAGTTAAATAAACAATATTAGAGAACAGAAAAGCAACTTGAATAGAACTAACATATTTCTTTCCAAGATAAGGTCCAACTGAATTAAAAATCACATCAAATGAACGTGGAATCAAACCGGGATTATTCAATGGGCCCATCATTGTATAGGTTTTGCCAGAACCAGTAATTCCATATGTAAATAATACACCTAAATTTTGCATAACAAATAAGATGAAACATTTTTTTTTCGAACGAGAAAACATACTGCTTTTGCCTTGAATAAGATCGTCAAGTAACGGTAAAGCTAATTCTTTAAATGCAGCTGATTGAGAAATATTATCTGTAAGAATATGACTAAAGTCATAACGAGACTAGAAACAAAAACCAAATAATGAAATGAATTCAACATAAAAGACTTACTTCTCTAATTTGTGCATTTTTAGCATTCTAAAAATTCAAAAAATGTTCATATTGATTATCAATAGTCTAAAATAAATTCGCTAACCTCGGACGAATAGAGAACAAGTTCTTTGGAACTTGCAACTTTAATACATGACGAAGAATTATCTGTTTGTTGATCGTTATGATTATCTTTTGGTGGCCGTAGACGACAAAAGACCTACGAGAAAACAAAATTGAGTAGATGCAAAAGTCCTGCTAAGAACATTAATGACTCACTTCTACGGGACAACCACCACCATTAATAAGTAAATCACGCGAACCAAGCTGCGTTTTCTTCATTGAAATGATGCTACCATTAAAATCAGAATAGTATATATAGTCGAAAAGAAACAATAGGAAAGTAAAAATAAAAATACAGAATAGATTAATCGAGGTACTATAGTAATCATATAAGCGCACTAGACAAATCTATCTGTTGGTCAATTCATACAAAAGGTTAAATACCATTTACTATTTAATAATTATACTCTATCACACTTGTTTGATTTGAACTCTGACAGAAAGAAAAACGATTTTAGAAAAGAGAGCATATAGACATTAACTGGACTTAAATAATGATGAACTTTAGTTCGCATTAATTACTTAATAGATGCCGCTTTTAACATTTATTTTGTTTTTGTTTACTAGAAAGATAATATGTGACATTATTTTTTGAATAATTACAAGAAAACATCACATAATTTCTTATAGGATTATAATTGTAAATTCTCAAGACTATTGAATTACAGACATTTCGTTATCTATCCTTTTATTTCAAATCAGACTCTTTAATTGATACTATTGTGCCATTTTCCCAGTTGATATCTATTATGAGATCGAAGTTTTGATGTATTAAATTTTAATGTTAATCTTTTTAAACTTTTCTTCTTCAGAACAATGAACATCGAATTTCCAAAACTCAACTCTATGCAGCTATGTTGTGAGTCTTAAAGTTTTGTTGAAATTTAATATCACGACGCGAAACAATAGTCGTCAGTTTCCAGTAAAACGCCTTCAGTTTAGAATAGAGCACCAACAGGAACTTGTTATTTGAGAAACTTTTATATCTCACTGGTTTTTATCTTGTACAAAGATTTTGTACCCGAAAATTAGCTATTTAACAGTTGACAACGTTCTCTCGTTTGACTTGCGTGTTGTTTTTATTTTGCGGACGTCTCCTATCTTCAGTTTCTTCTCTTTGTTACTTCGTTCCATAATCAACAATATCTATATGTATACCGACAAATGTTTTGTTTTCGTTTTTGAACATAGGAATACATAAGAATTCTAAGGCACTATTAATAGAGGATTGTTCTTCAACTAGATAAGAGAATATTTTCGATTTGTAGAAAATAGTGAAATGAATTTGTTTTCTCAAAAGAGAAACACAGTCTACTCATGTTTGATTTAATTTCAAATGTTATACGCGCACGCTACCACACAAAAATATAAACAAAATCTAATTGAATGTAAGTCTTAAAGAAATGTTTTTATTTCAAAGATACAAGGTATACCGTTTATCAATATTTCTTCAGTAGCTATTTATATTACTTATGAAAATATGCAATCGAAGTATTTACGTTCTACCTACAATCAAAAGTCAAGTACATTTTAATTTTTTTAAGTCTCAATCGGAACAATTTTAATGAGCAACAGAAAGATGAAATCTGAATAAAATGAGTATAAATAATAGTTCTGAACCTACATCTGAATCAAAGTGTAGTCCTTATCGCATCTACATACCTATGTGAAGTTCTTTGATAATGTTTTTTTGAAAGAAAGAGAAAATTTTGTTGCATTTTTTTGTCGCTCATTAGCTTCTGCTGTTCAACAAAGCAGCATTAATACACAGACCAGTCAAAATCGAAATTTTGATTTCGAACTAAAATTATGTTGAACGAGTTTAGTTTCTTATTTTGACTGGACAAATGATAAATGGAAGTAGGTTTCACTTTCAACCTTAATACATATATTTTTATGAGTATTTGTGCTATATTATAGAGATTCGTGATCGGAGTAGGGGTCGAATCAGAATTTGGTAATGATAATATTTTCACATGAATCTTCAATTTTTCAAAAACAAATGCGGAAATATTGTCCCGCTACGAAACTAGTCAATCACATATCACTAAGGCGATATAGGTTTTATTCACTTCAGTCAAAACTAAACTGAACACTGTTCATGAAACAAAATAACATCATCGTATTTAAACGAGAAATCAATCATGACCAAAAAAAGAATCAGTCGTCTATTGTTGAATATAGTATAGATAAGCGATTCAATTGATAATTATAATTAGAGTTAAATAAACAAAATTTGATCTTAAACCTTTTTTGCTGAGAGTGAAATCGCTTATAACAAGATTATAGAAATTCATTAATATCTCGTTATATACATTGAATTTTATATTTATTAACAATAATGAAAAATAAAACATTATATACTGTACAGCACTAACAAGAGAATATGCAAAAATCGGTTAATTACTTAAAAAGATCTTGGTTCTACAATAAAACTATAGATTCTCGGTGACTGAAAAGTTGGTATCGTTTTGTTTTTGTACCGCCAAAAAAACAAACACAAACGAAAACATGTCAATACACATGTTAGAAAAAAAACAAATCGAACAAGCCAAATAGTAAAAATAGATGATGAAAATTTTTTATCTACTCGAAAAACAATATCTCCCAAAATCCATAAGAAAACGAACCATGGTGATAGAGTAAATGCAAGTGCATTATAGAAAACGAAATTTTCAAGAAGACTAACTATAATAAATACACAACAAAGAAGTAAACATCCAATAATAGAAGCTGTTGATGATGACATCACATCACCATAAATGAGACCTATTATAATTGACAAGCAACTTTCATAGAAAATAACAGATGCCCATAAAGCTAAACCATTATGATACAGTAACCGTGTTAACCAAACATCGGCAAAACTTAAAGAAAACACATAATAATTTGTTTTTCTTCCGAATATTTTAAAGTAAAACGTGATACGTACAATTTATTTCGCAAATAACTTTTCACGTTTTCCCACAGTGACACATGTACAACAACAAGAATAATAAGTAATTCACATAATGTTCCCAAATGACGAAATATTGACATCTAATATAGAAATTAAAAATTTCTCACGCCAAAACTAATTATTGTATTTTTCTTACTCCAATTCCATATTTATTTCGTGAAGCTGCTGCCAATTGTGGTGTAAACAAAATAAGACCAAATACAGTATAGAAATAACACCATTTATTCATGGCACATGGATGTTGATAAAAGTAAGTACCTGATGATGTGCGTCGAAAAATACCAATTACTGAATAAATAATCCATGCAGCCTAGATTAATGTTCATAGGTATTACCATTATCAAAAAAAAAATTTCTTCTTTATAGATTTTTACCTGCCAAATAAAAACAACATACCAAATATATGACATACTGGACGAAGTTGGAGTTAATTCAGTTGGATATCGATTGAGAGAAGGAATATATAAACTACTCTTAAAGTCTCCTGTGAACGAAAATATATAGTTAGTTAAACATATTCTTAATATACGCAAATACTTGCTTGAAGAGTAAATGAGATCTACAGAGATACGTTGATACACTTGAATCACAAAGAATATAATACATGTACCCATATAAAAAATATGAATCCAATCATGCTTATAGATTGCAGTCGGTAGAACATAATCATTTTCTACTAATGCTATTTCCATTTAAATATCACCTTTTTAAAAATACATGTATCTATGTAATAATCCGAAAATAAATGTAGCATCTTCTTATTCTTCATTCCTTATTGGTTATAACGATGGCAGCCAATCGAATATGGAAGTTTGATGAGTGAGTGCAGTGCTCTCTATTGATTGATATCGGACTTGTTTCAGATAAAGCAACGTTGAAAACAAGCAAAGAATAATTTATTAAATATTTTGTTTTAAATTTCTGTAGAAATGCTCAAAGTCGGTTTAATTCTTATATTTATAGTTTTTGTCAGAAAATAATATTTCGAACATTAGAAAATGTAGTTAAATAAATAAATGAATGAATTTTAATTTACTATTAGAAGATCATTCAAAAAATACTTTCGATTAAGAGAAAACTTCAAAAAACTATTTTTTCCCGTTTTCAATCCTTTTAAAAACTCATGGGTTTATTGTATTATATATGCATCGTTTGTCACTGAATTTAGAGATTTTTCTAGTTGTAAAATGTAGAAATTGAATTGAATATACGTTATAGTATTATTAACACTAGACTTTAGTATTTCCTGCTCAAACTTATACTTTGAACTATTTTAGGGCTTCTCAAGGATCATGCTGGGTGAAAAATTTTATTCTCTATCGAATCATACTATTTTTAATGTAGTTCATCGAACAAAAATTGCTTTGCGTATACCTCATAGTATGGATGTCACTATGAGTTAAAATGTGAGTCGATCATGGGTACATCACTCATCTCGTTTAGTACTTCTTTCATCTGATCAGCGCCTATTGGAAGCACACAGCATCAAGGATGATCTGCATTTCAACACCCCCATACCCTCCAGTTGAAAACGACGTTTGATTTTAAGTGTATGTGTACGCATTTTCTCAAATTGTCGATGATCAATTTGTATGTATTCTTTTAAGAATGAATTCTAATATTTCAACAGCCAATTTTTGTCATTGAACACAGCTAAATCAATCAATTTCAATTGAAATGTCAACATAGAAGATCTTGACAAATTTACTCATTTTTACAAAATCATTTTCATTATTGATGAATCAATGAATAGAACTATTAAAAATTTGACCACGGTATATCATCTAATAATTTCATGTGTACGACTTGCAATAAAGACAAACGATACTATATCTCTTAAATTAGTCACCATGGATGAATAGAATTGTTAATGAGTGACATATTGTAGATTTCGAACGAGACTATCATACGAAGTTCCAGTTGTCTTATTTCACTTTTTTTAAATTATCGTTCATAGTATGAAATGTGAATTCGACATAATGATATACGACTAGTCAATGTATATTAACTATATTTATCGAATAAAAATGTTGACATGTTGACTTGATATTTCTGTGATTTAGAAGTTCATTGTATATATAAAATCCTAATATTGATCTTTATTTCTCTTAGTCCTCTGTTTTATTTTGTTTATTCTAATGAATAAATCTTAACACCTTGGTTTTGTACTGAAATGTTCATAATAGTAGTACAGAAAATGAATGTGAAAATCTGTATAAAAATAATATCAATCTTCTATATTTAATATTGACCCATGGGCGAATTTATTTTGAAATTGATTCTTTATACGTTGAAATTTATCATCATATCATTTTTCTACGATCAGATATGCTTTGCATAGATATCGCTGACGAAATATGCCTGACTTTAGTTTTTTTTCGAGTCAACGCTTTGAATTCTCTTATCTTGCCTACTTCAAAAGCCTGTCTAGTATGTTTTTTATACTGTAAATGATAAACCTAAAATATTATCAAAGTCATAATAAGAAAAAATCTCTACTGATATAATAACATTCTTGTCTCTAGTGCGTATTGTCAAATAAATCGTCATTTCTTAAAACATTACTCAACTTGAAAATGATTGAGAATGGTAACATTAATGTTGAATCCCGTTATGATGAAATCAAGCGATTTATATTAGATGATTATAAGAACGATCCAACTATATTAGGTATTGATGGATTACTCGATGTATTACTTGTACTTCATGATGAATGTTCGAATGCAACCTTGAGGGGAGAAAAATCAATTAAAGCATATCTTGAAAATGGTAACCAATTTGCTTTGTGTATTCGACTATTAACTTTATAGCGTTTATTATAGTTAAAACATTTGTATCGCGTATAAAACAGTGTCGGTTGAATCGAAATGATTTTGAAATAATTAAAACTATTGGACAAGGGGCATTTGGTGAAGGTATTTTTTCATTCATTTTAATTATTTTATCGTGAATTCATCTTTAGTTGTTGCTGTTAAAATGAAAAATACGGAACGAATATTTGCTATGAAAATAATGAATAAAATGGAAATATTGAACAGAGCTGATATAGTTTCATTTCGCGAAGAACGTGATGTTCTGGTATTAGGTGATCCTCAATGGATAACAAAACTTTATTATGCATTTCAAGATAACGAAAATTTAGTAAGTTATAATCAAAAATGGAAATTTCTTTTCTAATTTGATTTTTCTAGTATCTTCTAATGGAATATTACTATGGTGGTGATCTGTTAACGTTATTATCAACATATGATGATAAATTTTCTGAAGACATGACTAGATTTTATGTTGCTGAAATAATCTTAGCAGTTGATTCTCTACATAGACTTGGTTATATTCATCGGGATATCAAGTAGGTTTGATTGAAGAAGAATTTGTTTTTCTTTAATTCTTGATTTTTTTTCAACGGCCTGACAATATATTAATCGATGGTTCAGGACATATTCGCTTAGCAGACTTTGGTAAAATAGTAATTTTACTTTCATTTTATGATAGCTATAGTTATTTTAGGTTCTTGTCTTCGAATGAGAGCTGATGGAACAGTCAGTCAAACAACTTCCACTGTTTTTTGTTTTGTTGTAATTCCTTTTACTGATTTAGGTGCAGAGCAATGTTTCTGTTGGCACACCTGATTATATTTCACCCGAAGTGTTATGTGCAATGAATGAAAATGAAAGTTGTTATGGAAGTCTATGCGATTGGTGGAGTTTAGGATGTGTTATGTGGGAAATGTTATTTGGTTCACCTCCATTCTATGCTGAAGCAATGTTAGATACTTATGGACAAATAATAGCACGTAGTAAAAATAAAGTTAGCATTGATTCTGATTATATTAAATGAATAGTAGAAGTATCCTTTTGTTTCATCTAAATAGATTCCACTTTCATTTCCCGGTGATGTAGACGTGTCGGATGATGCAAAAGATTTATTACAAAAACTGCTTTGTTCCGCAGACTATCGCCTGGGGAAAAATGGATTGAATGATTTTAAAAAACATCCATTTTTTACTAAATTTGATTGGAATAATCTAAGACAAAGTAATGAATCATACAATAAAATAATGATAAAATTAGAATTTTTTCATTTCTACAGTACAACCTCCGTACATTCCTGTGGTAATAGATACAATGGATATATTGAATTCTAATGATATCGAGCCTGAAACATTTGTCAAAGTAGATAAATTTCTTTCAGTTATTCTTTTATATTTTGAATATAATTCGTTGATTTGTTTAGAAAAGTACTAAGGTAAGTCTAGTCTTTTTTTTCAGGAAAAAAAACACTAGATTTACGTATCTTTATATATACGTATCAATAGCTTAGCATTATGCTTTCATATATTTTACATTTTTTTGAATACAATAAGAAACTAATAAAACTATTGTAGACTTACAATACACCTGCTTCCAAAATGGGATTACCTGACAAAGTACTGTTCATAGGTTTTACCTATTCTGGTGATAGGTAAGTCAATAATACAAATTGATTTGTTTTTTACACTAGCACTTTTTCATTAAATAAACTCCATTAGAAGATAAAATCAATGTTAGCCATAAGCAGCCACAATATATTTTTCATTTACCCTGAATATTCGAATAGAACTATTGAATTTTAGAAGGTAGCTTTCGAGATTAGTCTATACGACTTAGTATTGATTCTACTATCGAATCGAAAGAATATTGAAATTGTTACATTCCATGGAAAGGATAAAACCTTTATTTTTTATACAAATATCTCCCATTTGCTTATCTGTTAATCTATTCAAAATCAGTCACATGCGCTTAATCTATAAATGAAGTCGATTTTTAGTGAATTCAATTAATTTTCAAAAGCGACTACTGTAACCGATGAGAAGCCTGTACAATGATCTAATTGTTGTTACTTTTTGAAATTTGTATGCTTTCATAGTGGTCTACAAAATTTTCTTTAATATTTCAAAATAATATTTTTTTCATGATATTTTAGTCATTCATCGAATAGTATTAAAACAATACAAGCTTCACCGGTTCCTCTCAACAAATCAACTATAACTCTTAAATCAGAATCTAAAATAATAAATTCTGCTATTAGACCTAGTTCGACATCGTCTGGTAATAGCCTAGTTTATGTTATTATGTGAATTGCCAAAATTTTATCTTACAGGAAACCTTATCTTTTCAACTAATGCAGTTAGACAAGTTACTGAGGGTGAACATGAGTCAAAAATAAAATTATTGGAACTCGAACGAACATCATTAGTTCATGAATTAAATCGTTTCCATCAATTATATAATGAAATAAAAAATGATTCTGTCAAAAAAACACGAGAAATACAAGAATTGAGAGATTTTTATACCGATCAATATGAAATATCGAGACACGAACAAATTGAGTATTTGACACGAATTTTAAGTCTATTTCAAGATCTTCCTGAGTCTAATGGAATAAAACATTTTCATAAACATAATGTTTCATCCTTATCAATGGAAGAACAAATAAGAAATGATTTAGATCAAAAACTAAGTTTCTTTCTAACTAATTATAAATCATTATTAATGAAAGATTCTAAAGACAAAACAAAATCTGTTTCAAATGATGTCTCTCTGCTTTTATCTAAATTTCAAGACAAATTCTCTCGTCTATTGATTAATAATGGCAATGATGGGATGGTTTTAACAAACGAAACGAATAATCTAAATGAACCATTATTGAAAAATATTATTTCATTTTTTAATGATGTTTACCAACAAATGAAAAAAATTTTACATGACAAAAAAGAACTTAATGATCAATTTATTTCTTTAGCAAAAAAGCAACGAAAATATATAAATTTCCAGTCAAATATTTGTAAAGCTATTAATGAAGGTCTAGATTCAAATTCATATTTAAAAAAATTGGTAAATCAAATGGCCCAAGAATTTGATCAAAAACAAGAATTAACCTATCCTCAATTGGTTTTCAATAGTAGAACATCATCGATTTCTTCATCCACTGGAAATAATCCAGTTAGAATTATATTTTCAATGTTATTAGTTAAATGTTTAAATTTGAAACGATGTTTTTTTAGTCTCGTGCACTGAGTCATTCAGTTAAATTACAACACATGGAAATTCAACAACTACAAATAGCAGTAGAAAGGGAAATTCAAGTACGGCAACAAGTTGAAAAAAAATTAAAAGAATTGGAAAAAGAAATTGTTCATAAAGTCGAGTTAGTATTCATGGTATTTAATCATTTCTATAACTATCATTGCTACTTAACTAGAGAACTTGTGCAGTTGAAGCAAGAAAATCAATTAATAAAAAAACAATTAGACGATGAACAAGCCAAACATTTATCAAAAAGAACTATTTCAGGTAGACTAAATGAAATCTAGAGGATTTTTCGGCATTCCTTTTAAATGAAGCATATTCACATTGAATAAAGTCTTTTTAGTATACGTAAAACGTCAGAAAAACACTATGATAACATATTTAGCTTAATATTATGATGTTTTCGAGAGAAATTTCTTATTCGACACAGTTATAGATAACTTCCTTGAGACATACAGAGTTTTCTATGGATTTTGATTATGCACATTTCATTTCTATTGATGTATGGAAAAAAATCGAAGGTGGAAAACAAGATAAATCGTGCTTTTATGAATTTATTTTTGAACTAATGTATTTACTACTATTTTATTCTACTAAACACAATCAGCATGAAATGAAATGCGACTCATATCATGAAAAGGCAATTAGAATTTTCAAGTTTCGAATGAGCTTTGCTTCAAATGACATCTGATGCATAAACGAGATGAATACGTTCTGGTATTTTCATATAATATTATGCTTTTCTCACATGTTAACATATTTGTTGAAGCAAATTTTTATAGAGTATACATTATTTATCTAGATTTATTCTATAATTGGCTATACGCTTGCTAACAGTGACTGTGAAAAAAGTAAAAGTACTATGAACTATATCTAGAAATATTGATTAAGTTATAGAAATAATAACGAATATATAAAGATTTATTTTATCCCGTTATCCAAATTTCTCCATTTGAATAACACCCTTATTCTTGATTATAGACTAAATATATCATGGAAATATCATACTATTCGTATGTTGTTCATTCAGAAATGATTTCGAGGACGCCATGAATTTTAAATCCTAATAAAGACAAAGCTGCCTGGGTCGAAACACTAAAAAGACTAGAATACAAAACACGATAGCGACCCATTTGTAAATAATACTGTTTATATTTAATGAGAAGACTTCTCATTGATATGTGTTCTTCAATATGGTTGCCATATTTAATATGAATGAAAACATTTTTGAATGGACGCTAAGATAAAAATTTATCAATACTTTGAAGTGTTTTTGTGCAGCTCTTCTTTTTTCTTTCGGCAAGCCGCAAAGTATTAGTATATCAACTGAAAAATTAAGTTGAATCACTGAAACGATAACAAGTCCAGAGCACATTTAATAAATCGATCAAAATGAAAATAATCTTTCTTCTAGTCTAACTGTACACTAAAATGAGAATTCGATTGCAATTCCCTATGATAGAAAAGTTTTCAGAGCTAAAACATTTTTAGTGCTCAATTAGTTAGAATTTATGTTTTTGAAGCACTAAAATCTTGAGAGATAATGTTTTAATTAATTTTCTTTTTCGAAAGGAACCTTTTAACAACGACAATAAATTTGATTGTTTTTTTGCATCAAACCCTCAAATAGTTTGTGATTCACAATGAGAATAAATACTTTATAGATGAATAAATGCAGCACCAATAAATGCGAAGCATTTTAAAGAAAAAAGATCGATCTCAAATCTCATAGAAATTTCTATTTAATTTTTTAGAGTAATAGTTTTCGATCCTTGCATCGATGCTAACTAGTTTTTAACTTTCGTGAATTATTTACAATCTCATCCATATCAGTACACAGATTCAAAACTAATATTTTCGTACAAACGGTACATATTTCAATGAAAACAATCGACTGACTAAGACAAATGAAATATGTTAAAGCTTAGCATGCCCAGAACAGCTCCACACGAATCTGTTCTTGTTTTTAGAAGACAAATCGTTGGTTATCGATAATGATAATAATAATAATAATAATACATCAACTGATCATAATGTAAGATCTGTCCCTAGTGACCCATTTATTCCTCAAACACCAGTAAGAAGAAGAATTGTTAATTTTCATGAAAATTTTTTCTTCTAAATTCTAGGCTACTAAGGCAAACAATAATCAACGATTAGATCCACTTCAAGTAAAAGATTTCTTATTCAAAAACATTTTAAACTAATAACGTCTTTGTTTATGTGTAGAATGCATTTCATGATTTTAGACTCAATAATTTCTATTCACCATGTGTATGCCATCATTGTTTAAATGCATTGATTGGTATTGTACGACAAGGATTTACCTGTAAACGTAAGTTGAATTAGATCTATTAATAATTTTCAAAATAGATTCATATTTCAGGTTGTGGAATAGTTTGTCATTCAGATTGTGTACAAAAAGTTCAAATTGCATGCGAGCCATCAATTAAAGACCAAAGTAGGTTTGTTTTATCTATTTTATTTTACATTGTTTCCGTAAGTTTAGATCAAGCTAATCTAGGCGTTCCATATATTGTACAAGTATGTTAGTTGTTTTTTTTCTTATAAATAAAAATCTTCCATTTATAAACAACATTAAAATAGATTCCAAAATCTGGTGGTATAAGAAAAGGTTGGAATCAATGCCAAATACTACTTTTTCACTCGAAATTATTATTTTATGAATTATCAAATAATACAAAAATATCAGATTCAGAACCATTTCTAATAATCGATGTTACTGATGATAAATTTAATGTTTGTTCAGTAACACCAGAAGATGTGATGCATGCTAAAAAAAAAGATATACCAAATATTTTCAAGGTCTCGCTTTCTTTTTATTCAAGGTCACATTGTAACTTTTGAAATTTTTATTTAGATTACTGTAAATAAATTATCATCACCAAAAATATTAAAAAATCTATATGTATTAACAAATAATGAATCAGAAAGAGATCAATATATTAACATGCTATCAAATCTTTCGATGAAATTAAATACTCACATACGGAACGGTGTCATAGTTAGTTGACAAATATTGTTTATTAAAGTCTATATCGTTTGTTTTAGCAATGTGGAACTTTTATCACAAAAGAAATATTTGATATAAGTTTAAAAAAAGTAACCGGCGCTCGGATTCTTGGTAAATTAAAATAAATAAATACAGAAAACATAAAATATTTCCGTATACCCTCATTTTAGATCCGAACCGTTTTCTCATTTTTGGTGAAGATGGACTTTATTTACTCGATGTTTTCGATAATAGTATGAATTCTTTCTATTTCCATTCGTTTGTTATTCATTTATTTTTCCTTTCAGAACCAACAAGACTTCATGATAGAAAAATTTATGATTTAGCTTTAGTATCAAATAATGAATTATTAATAATGCTATCTGGAAAGGAGTGTATGATTCGTATTAAATCTCTTCAATGCTTACTTGCTCGTTCGCCACCTTCATTAGATAGTGAAATACCTGAAACAAAAAATGCAACATTATTTACAACTAATTCAATATCCTTGACTCTATGTGTTGCAGTTAAAAATCGTATTTTGTGTTATAAACTTCATTCAAAGCCACAACAATATCCGTATACACTTATACATGAGTTAAACACAGTTCAAAGCGTATCCTATTTAGAATTATCCATATTAAAAGTAAATAAAAATGAAGAAGAAATACTTTGGTATGGTGACTCATCAACATGTATGGCACAAAAAGTTGCCCATCAAAGTCCTAGCGTTGTTTTATTACGAGATACTGATCGTACGTTAGAAATGTTTCGTAAACTACCTATTGTTATATTACGTGTTATACCTGTGACAAGTCAGTTCTTCAATTTCATTTTAATGAAAAGAATTCAATTCATTGTGTTGTATTGTTTAGATTCATCATCAATTAATGAACTTTTACTTGTCTATCATAAACTAGGTATTTATGTAAATTATTCAACAGGAATGCGAACACGTCATCGAGAATTAATGTGGTCCTCATTACCAATATCGACATCTTATACTGATCCTTATTTACTTGTATATACAAAAGTATCTGTTGATATCTACGATGTATCATTAGGAACATGGCTGCAATCATTGTCATTATCAAATACATATCCATTAACATTAGATGGATCTATATCTCTTTCCTACGATCAAGAACTTATTAAAGATCATGGAAAATTAATTTATATCGCATCCTTAAATCGGTTAACACGATCTCTTCATATCGCAGAAAAATATTCGAGTCCATTAATATCTGATCCAGTGAATTTTCAGCATCTTGAGCATGTAGAACGGGACGAAGGTTTAAAATTATTATCACGTCCAGCATGTGATAGAAAACGAAATCGGATCAAATCGATGATAGAAACAGAGTCATGTAATTCGTCAGATAGTAATAGATTGCTGATTAATACAAGCGCATCGCGTTCAATTTTAAATACATCTGTGCCACTCGGCCATAGCCTAATCCAGTTAGTTTAATCGTATCAAGATATATATATATATATATATATTTTTTTTTTCTCTATTCTTTATTTTTAATTCTAGTTCATCACATCTCTTTAAAGTAAGTTGAAACGTAACGTAGATTTTTGCTAATGAAAATATATACGATGGATTGTACAACAGATATCTCTTGAAATAACTGGAATAGTTCTATCGAAAATATTTACATAGACATAGGTAATCTTGGTAGCATATACTCTTTCGAATAATATGACAACATATTTTGTTCAGGCAGTAGCAATCGAAAAATCAATGATCTGTCAAAGGTATCTGACTACATGTTTATCGGTGAGACTATCTTCAATTGATTTAGTGAATGACAACAACATAAACTACCTATTACAGAGCCATGATTTCTCATTTTTTTCCCTATCTGACGAAAGTCTATTGATAGATATATAATGTTAAAGGAATCTGTTTAGAAAGTTATCGATCTATGAGATTATTTTCAATTCAACATGATTCGTACCATCCTTTAGAAACTGGATACAATTCTTCTTCTTTTTTGACTGAACATGCCTTTAGAATTCTGATAGAAGAAGGTGCAATATGTAACGAAATGCAGAATAGCAATGCGCTGATTCAAACATTAAGAACTACTATGTGCCTGTTGTTTAATCGATTTTAATTAAATGAAAACTAAAGGATTTTAATAAAATTTAGGATCAAAAACAAAAACAAATGATCAGCAACGATAATCCATCTCATTCTCTTGCATGCAACGACGAAGAGAATCCCTATGCAGTTTTGGAGTAATCATTGCAAATCATAATAATCATGCAAGATCATCTTTTATTGATCACAGATTACAGCCACATGAGTTAATGTTCTTTTTTGCATTTTGTATGCTTGAATATATTAATAGTATGTTCTTTGCTATGTGGTGAAACTTAATGGTTGAATTTTCGTTTTTTCTATTATTCATTTGTACGATTATACTATGACTGTAATATTAAAAATGGTATGATTCTCTTGTAAAACTGTTTTCTTTTTGATAATATGAGGTTGTCATCAATTCTATAAATAATTCAAACTTTCTTAATACCAAAAATATGTTATTATTTTTAATAAAAAAGAAAATGGCATCCGTTCTATAGATTAAAAAATGATTTAAAATACGTCGCAATATACTTCATAGCAATCGAACAAAATGCAACTGTGATTTAACAATGGCATATCAAAGATTCCTATAGCTGATTTTCTTTCATACTTATCTGGTCACATAGAAAGAAAAATTGTTTTACTACTAATTTACTTTAAGTTACAATGTTATACATTTTAATTTTCAATAATGTAGACTAAAATGAATTAACTTGACATTTGTTTCTTCTTCGTTCAAATTAACTTCTCTAATGGAAGATCGACAGATCATTTCAATTTCATTTCCATCTTAAAAATGACCGATCATTGTCTTAAGCTTTCGTTTTATTTCAATTGGATTCTCTCCTTGTCCGACTTGATATGACATATCACACAGTATACAATCAAGACTGTAATCACTGATGTTCTGAAAATAATTGAGTATGTTTTGAAAATTTTTACGCAGCGGCTCATTTCTCCATTGGTGATAACTTTCATACAATGTTCTATTGGTTGCAACTTTTCTAATGTAGAGAGCCGCATCTTTTGGAGCTTGGAAGTTTCTTAAATCAATAATACACGTCGTTTTACATGGTAACCAATCTTCAATATTTGGAGCGCCGAGATAAATAGGTATACTTCCAGCCACCAATGGATGCCATAGTTTTTCCGTTACATAATCATAATTAAGACTGTTTTCAATAGCAATAGTAAACAAATATTCATTTGATAATGCCAATTTCCCTTCTTCCCAACTGTAGCTACCGCGATCTTTTAAGTTTCGATTGCTTGACTGTTGAATTTTTACAATATGATCTGGTAAGTTGCGAATATTATTACCACACGTTCCGTAATTATCTATATCTATATATTTCATTAATTCATGCATGTATTCCGTGCGCTTTGATATTGTTTTACAGTTGCTGTTCATCCACAATATTGGTGCTTGTACATGCGATACATTGATGATCTGGTTTTGCATCTGTGAAATCTACGAAAAATTAAATACACATCTTCGCAATGTTGTTTTTCATTGGTCAAAGAAGTTTCTTACTGAAGTTTTTCTTTAATCTAACTCTTTCATTATCGAGGAACTCATGATTAACAACATTTTTCAATTGACACAGATCACGCTGTCATCAGAAATCTTGCAACTTTTCTTTAAAAAGAAACAGTTTACTCAATACCGTTCGATGCAAGACCACGGCTGCTTTCAAATAGTTCCTAGAATTCTTTTGCATATTTAAATAGTAGCTAAACATTTCTTCGACTAAAAACTGAATTTATCAGAGAAAAAATATAGGAAAATACGGAAAAAATCAATAAATTTGCAATTGGTCTTCTTATTAAAGTCATATACTTCCACAGATTCTCTTCTAAAATGAATAATGACCCTCAATCCACAACAGAAACATGTAACAAATATCCAATGAGTAGCTGTCTAATTCAAGTTCGAATATAAATGGAGAAAAGAAAAAGTTAAACTGAAACTAAATTTAGGAATAGATTTAGTTTTAGTTTAACTTTCCGATATATGCGACATATGAATTCATATATACCCTTCGCCCACCTTTGAACACTCCTCCATGGTATCCATCACCCACACTCACATTTGAAGTATCCCGGATACCCCATCCTCTGCACTCCTTCCAGGTACCCTTCACCCACACCCACTCCATCTTAAACTAAATATATAACTAAAACTAAATCTATTTCTATCACTTATTTTCGAATTGATACCATGCAGTTGGGTGTCCATTTATATTCGAATTTGAACTAGGCATCTCATGTATCCAATTCTGTTTTTTAATAGGAAATTCAAATAGAAACGCTCGCTTTCTATTCGTGCTTTCATTTGTGATTTTTAATTCGAAAATTTTATGTTAATACTATAAGATGCAAACATTTTGTTAGATTTTTATTTATGTTTATCTCGAAAAAAAGACATAATATTCTTATCTAGTGACATCGCAATCTGATGGCACAGAAATACGTTTTTTTACTCAACTAAATAATTGCAAGGTTAATACAATCGCTTTTGTTTTGTCGCATTTTTTGAAAATAACAATGACTCATTGCTTTTAATTCAGTACCACAACAATGATCGCGTTATCATCCGTCGTACTTACGCAAAACATGAACTGTAATGTACACTGGTTTTAAAAAAGAATAAATTCATAGCACCTATGTAAAGACCTTTTCGATCTCTATATGGTATTTAAAAACAACAGTAGAATAATAAACTCTAAGGGGTTTGCGTAAAAATTTTCACCTACGGTCAAAAGAATTATTTTACGCTATACTTTCATAAAAACTTAAACGATTTATTATTTTAAGAATTATTTTTAGGTTCAGTAATAGAGTGAAATATTTTTCGAAGATTCTATCAAAAACGAACTGTTTAGTGTGAAAACTCTAAGGTATAACTGTATAGAAGCATCTTCGAATTACTCACTGTGTGTGTATTGGTCCAATAGACATCTGACGACATCACAGAATAAATTGGTTTTTTACTAGACATTACTTTCTCGACAGACATTCTCTTTGAATTAAACTTCAATTTTTCAACATAATTAAATAGCCAAGGAGCTGGAATAAGATCGTACAGTGACCGATCATAACCAAAAGTTATATCGAATAGCTTTAGGTTTTGATTATCGGTAGTCCAAGGATAATGACCAATTGATTCGAAATTGAATATGAATCCCCACATACTATCACAGGTACGAAATCTATTATTTAATACGTCGTGATATAATTCGTTCGAGATAGGAGTCAATGGATCTGCGATGATGGATGGATATCCTGCATGAGCATATTGTTTTAAAAATAAATCTAACGTATAACCACGTTTACATCGAAAATTTGATTGATGTTCGATCAAATGATCGTCATGGTTTTTCAATATTCGACCACCATTCATACATTTAATATCTTCTAATGTATTCGACGACGCGTAAATCATTCGACAAGGTAGACGCCTACAATCGCCCAAGTTGTATGCTCGACAAATGGCATTTGAAATTAACCTTAGTTCGTCGGGTATATCACACAACGACGTCTGATCAGTTTGTTCATTGTTATGAAATTCACGCCAATAAGCCAAATTAAATATATATTTGATTGTTGAAACTTGCTGATATTTTAACGGTTCACATCGATTAGTCTTGTGACTCGGAACATCAACGATAACAAATAAGTACGCCATAGAACATAATAAACTTCCAAAACACAGCAGTTTCCAGTACCTTCTTCTTCTTATTTGATAGCAACACATATTTGTAGGTCAAATATTTCTAAAAACTAAAAACAATATTCTTCTATGCGCCGATATTCTCGCAGATCAGAGCTTGTCAAGTAACGATGCTTTTTTGGGTGAAGTCATTTCATAATTTATTTCCAGATTCTATACGCCTTTAAAGATTGTCGTCATCAAAGACAAGAATAGGAGTTTTGATCTACTCTTTGCAAGTGAAGAAGAAAGTTAGTAATTGATCATGCGTGATGTATGACATTTATCTTTCGTTTGTCTGTCTCATGATGCTTTTCCTTTTGCCTTATTCTCATCTATGTTAGTTGTTGTGTTTTCGTAATTATTCAACTATGTTTCGTTAATTCAACTGAAAACACAAGATGAAACATTTTATTCTTGTTCAACGACATTATTATTGCGCAGGACTACCACTAGCTGTTCTATATTGCCTCCATTTTTTAGAAGTTCTTCTTTTTTTTGTTGTCAACAGAAATAAAATTGATTTATTTTCACGAGAATAGAGAGAAAAATACCTATTTGTTGCTAAATTGATAAGATTGCAACACTCTTCCATATCTATAAGCTTGTTTAAAAAATAGTTCGGTCATTCTCATATTTCACAGTATCAAAATAATTTTAGAACGACAAAAGTGTTGCAATAAAGTTAACAATGAAGAAAAGAAATATATATATATACGTTGTTCTGAAAATGAATTCATTTCCTACTTAGTTACATTTATTTTTCTTCCATTAGCAAGAATAGCAATCTGAATAATAGTAGCACGAGACACACATGTCTGCGTTAGCATCCGGTTGATACCACTACTTCTTTTCTGCTCAAATAAAATAAAAAGACTAGGTTCTTACTACGTTGACTTCACGAATTTGATCTATTTAATAATCAAGCACTACTTGATTTGTTTTGACAGATATGAGAAATTGTTTGATTTCCTTATGGTCTCATTCTTCATACTGACCGGAAAAAAGACAACATTGTACTAAAGAAGGTATATTTTCTCATTATTTTTCTATTAATCCAAGACATTTTTATGGAAACAGAACACGAGTTTAAATTTCTACTCGTATAAAACAAAACAAAACCTCTTCTCAAGTAAACAATGCTGCACGTTCATTGTAGTCCCTCGCCTGCTCAAATCAGCGTTGCTCATGATATATAATGTTAATACGTTTTTTAGAGTGTAACCCAAATATTTCAATACCGACCTATACTTTCATTCTTAATTTTGTTGAAAATAACGGATTTGCTTGTGTTTCTGCGCATGATTGATTTTCTCCATCTGACAGATGATTCACAATGATGTTCATGAGTAAATAGATATATATGCAATAAATTTACATAACCTAACAAAATAATTTGAATTCAAAAATACGAATCAAACTTCGGTTCGTGTACACGATCGAAGTAGACAAAAATGAAAGATGGTAAGACGAGGTTTGATGGAGGCACCTGTTGAGTTTTTTTTACATGTGTTCACTTGTTTTGTTAACAAAGTAAATTAAACTTAGAGAAGATGGCGTTGCAAGACAACTAAGATGTCAGAGGCGTTAACTCAATATTACTCCATAGAGTATTGCTCTATACTAATATTACTAAAAAGAAATTTTCTAATATTATTTTGATAAGAAGCAATAACATGAAAATAACTACTAAGAAAGCGTGATAAAAAATAAAAAATAATAATATTATCAGTTACTGAATGATCGGAATAATAGGTAAATAGTAAAGAAACATGTTTATTAATAATAAAAATTTTGAGTTTATATTTATGTTACTAAATTAAAGTCTCACAGTTTTGATTGTTTTCAAATCATTTTCACGGAAATCTTTTCAGCCCTGCTGAACACAATTTGAGTTATTAATGAAAATCCAACTATTAGGATAACTGTAATAGTGATCTTGATCAATGTGAAATAAATCATAAATATATATATATGGGATGACATCCGATCATATGGAATATTGCTAGTTTCCGACAATGAGTTCATTAGTCTGATAGCTTCCTTCACAGAATTATGTCGAGTCGGTTCATTGATGATTCCAACAGTTTTAGACGCTGCTTGATGATTCTCCATAAAAAAAAATAATTCTTGGCTGAACTGATTTTGCAGAGCTTTCAAAATCTATCAATCTTCATTAATTTTCGCCAGTTTAATCGATACTTAACGTGTTGGTCCTAGTCTAGTTCGTTCGATGTTGGCGATTTTTATTGCTTTTTAAAGTGTGACTACAAATGAGCTCAAAAGTGTTGGACTGACCATTTTTTGACTATTAATAAAGTGTCAGTTCAAACACTTTCAGATAGTTCTTTTCTTATTGAACCATGGAACCATTCAAGAATATGAAATTTGTTGATGGCAATCAGTTTTGACCTATATTCCTATGAAAACTATAATGTTTGCAATTATAATTATTGTCTTATTTTGCATTCTAATCTTCTGAAGATCACATTGTCTCATTTGCATTTTTCTCTAGGATTATCACTCCTGTTTTTTTTTGATTTTCAGAGGACATTCAAGTGCAACGGAATAATTATATTCAATGCATAAAATAAAACGAAGATATAATTTGTTTAATTAGATAATCTGAGGATCGATATTCCTTGTCACAATACAAACTGAACCTAATATGAAATAAGATTACTTGATAGTTGATAATTGATAAAGCAAATATTATCATCATCTAATTATGAGATGTCAGGTTAAGTTTTATTTTGACATATCATTGAGTATTTTTATTTTTACTCGTAATTGCTGTTCTCTAAAATTGCATATTTTCATGGTCAGTATAAAAATCAAATGAGGTGTAAGTAAATCATTGTCAATACACGTGTGAATTGTAATGAAGGTGCAAATATAGGATCTTTTCTACAATCATTTCCATACTGAGCAAAACTCGAGATTTTGAATCGAGTACTGTGTTTTCTAACAAAACTATTCGTGACATAACATAGCCTAACTGATATGTCAATTGTTGATAGAATTCAAATATCTCACAATTTTATGTAAATACTAATTTAATTTTACCAATTTCTCTTAGAAAAGTGCTAGAGAAACGATGGATTCGTATCTATGCTATTATACAGATAAGAAGCATATTTTATAGCACTAATAGAAGATATTTAGCAAAAAATGCCAATTGAAAAATTGTAGTTTTGAAAAAATAATAGGGTGCTAAGTCTTGTGTTCAGTTACGATGAAGTATCATTATACTTGATGTGAACAACTATCAGGATGGAATTACATTTTACGGATGGCCCAAGTTTGTGTTGCGTATACCAATAGAGCTATTTAATCTACTGATAGTGTCTATCCACCATATGTTCTATTCTAGTCTTCTCGATGAGAAAGTATAAACGAGATTGTTAGAAGTGTAGCTTACTGTAATGTTATCTTGAATATAGATACAATCTTATCACGTCATCGCTGAGATAAGCAGGTTCTTTTGACAAAGAAATGCAAAATCATACAAGATACAACACAGTTATATTTGAATTTTTTACTAATGCTTGCTTCAGTTTTTCTAATCTTCTATTTGCTTTCTGGTATGGATTTGCTACGGATTCATTTGGTTTTTTATATTTTATTTATTATTAGGCCTTAGTTTTTCACAAGGTTACAATTGCTATGAATGTTGGAGTGTTTTGACACCAGGTTGTGGTGAACCATTCAAACCGAATGCTACCGGGGTTTCGATATTAGCTGCCGGTGCCGGTCAATTTTGTGGTGTAAGTTGTTTTGAGTGAGAACATCTTAATACATACCTTTTTTGTTCAATAGGCTTGGAGAACAACTCATGACGACGGAAGTGAAGGCATTTCTCGGAATGTTGTTGATACCAGTTGGTGTAGTTTCGGTGAAAATGCCTGTAAAACTGAGAAGAACCAAAACGTAACTGACACAATGTGTTGCTGCTCATCTGAATTATGTAACGCACATTCCTTTATTCCACCTCATTCATTTTCTTTTATCGTTTCATATTCGATTTCGCTAATTAACCTATCAGTTTTTGCTAGCTTTTTCTTCTAAGCAGCATTATTGCGAAGAAAGTTCACTTAATAAACATATGTGACAATCATCTAGATCGTTATTTGATTACAGATCATCGCGTGTTGATCTATGTAGATACATTTTATCGTTTTATTTTTTGTTTGTGTCACGGTAATACGAAACGGTGAATATGATACAACTGTATGAGTTTTACCAGTTGATATCAAAGATGTATTATGCTGAGTCTGTGTTTTATGAATGAATCAACTTCATAATGGTATCGATAACTCCAATAGTCAACTATGTTTAGTTATATATAGTATTTGACTTGATATGAAATCAATAAAAATGTGAATTGAAATTATATGCGTATATTTTGGATCCATTGCTAACCACATACTAGAACAACATTATTGAAAAGAAAAATTTTGAGAACACATAAAAAAATCTATTCAATAATTAACATCCAACAAGCGGTAAATCAATAATCGAAGGCTAATTATTATGCAGCAGACCCCCCCCCTGCTATTTTTTTTCAATATTTGACACCAAAATAAAAGAAACGGTAGGATTGCAAAGTTCAATATCTGTTCCGAAAAGAAACTAGAAAATATCTGATCTTCTACAGAACTTGTATATTAATTATCAAGATAATATTGCAACTGTCAATATTAATACTACACACTTCTATAACTGAGACTATTTGCTCTCAATAATAGGCTTGGTTACTACATGTATTCAAGTTTAAGGGAATGCAGAAAATATTATCTATATTTCGCAGATTGCAAGAACAATAATCATCATGTACAGATAGGCATCATGTTTTTTGAATGCTGATTTTAATCGATGATTACAAAATAATTCTACTTCATGTAAATGAATTTCTTCACGTATCATCACAACAAAACACAACATTTGAAACAGATAAATGAAGATCAAATTATTGACAATTAACCAGTTCAATGCGGTCGCATTTTAAAAATCTGCCAAATTTCATAAATTTCTTTGTTAGCTTCTTTAATCATTGTCAGAAATTAGAGTGTGAGTATTATCTCTTTTAAAGTCTGCTATTATTAATTATAAAAATTTTCAAAAAGAACCCAATATATTGATTGATTCAGTTAAGCACATAGATATGTCATTAGTTTTGTAACAGCTAAACTAATTGACTAAAATAATATTGACAATTATTAATTGTATTATCACGGTAATTATTTTGCGAAAAGAAATTTAGATTATTTTTCATATGAAGATAATCAAGATTATTTAGTTTTTTTCTCATAATTCGATTCATAATATTTGTAGACTTACTGATTTATTACTTGAAACTAAAGTCATTAAATCAGTATCAATAATTGCAAACGCGCCATTGTGGCAATATCAAAATGTACAATGCCTATCAAACTATCATATTCATCGCATGATAGTGTTGATTTGACTAGGCTACGTTGGCGTTTCGTGATATGTACTGCTTCATTCTATGTTAATGCTATTACATGGGGATTTATTTCTTCAACTGGCATTTTCGAAGACGCACTCAAAAATACTTATCAATTATCATCATTTAAATCGACTCTGCCAGGTTCTATACAAATAGCTACCATGTCTGCATTGAGCGTCTTTGCCAGTGTATTGACGATGAAGTATGGGGTGCGATGGACAATAATGTCTGGAGCTTTTATTTCAGCGATTGGTTCGATATTAGCAGCTGTGATTGGATATTATTGGGCTTATTGTTTATGCTATGGAGCTCTTGTTGGTGCTGGTGAAGCTTTTATGCTTGTACCTGTAAGTTTAGTATAGAAAAACAATTTTCGTAGATTTTGTTCTAGGCCGTTTTGGCCATTCCGCCTTATTTTCACTTTAATCGTGTTTCATTAGCAACTGCCTCAGCTGTAAGTGGTGCATCGATTGGAATGTTCGGAATTCCTTTTCTACTTCAATATCTTCTTGAATCATATGGTCTTCATGGAGCAACACTTTTAGGAAGTTGTTTATGGTTAAGTATTGGTCTAGCCGGTGCCCTCTTCGGTCAAAGTGTCATCAGTATTGAAGATGAAACTATTACAATACTTGAAAATGAATCCGATGTAACAAGAACAGAAAATGAAGGAGGATGTTCTATAGTTATGAGACGTCACTCTAACCTATCCAATGGTGGATTAATATATAGTCGACGAATATCTCTTTTACCAACTTCTGTTCATTATCAGAAACAACAACAACAACGCAAACGTATATCATCACTGTGTCCACAATATCATAATCAAGATACATTGATAGTTAACACACCTACTATTTTAGAAGGATTTAAATCGAATCATGTAGATATATCAAATAGGTTCGTAGAAATCATCGAAAGAAAGAAATTATTATCTTAAAGAAATGAGTTTTTGGCTAATTGAATAGAATGTTTTCTTTTTAAAATTGATTTGGTTTATTTCATTGACTAAATGTGGCTATTAGTAGCATGAAATATATTGAAGATGTACTTTAAATGATCGAAATTCGAGAACTATGAACTGCCCCACTATGTTTGCTGTTTCGGTTTGATCCTATTTATTTCTATTCTACGTTGATAATGAATAGTAAAATTTAATAAAGAATTTCCATAATATAATTTTTTTGAAAATTTGTTAGCTTTAATTATTGAACTATTAAATCAACTGATTTCTTTTGTCAGCTCAATAAACTCATTACCCATCATAATTGAATCTCATACACTTCAATCAATGAATACTAGTTCACGTTCATTAATTCCTCACAATGATCACAATCGCTTATCAACATTGACTGCTGCATACGAAGCTCGTACGGTTGATAATGCCATTTACAAACAAATTAGTACATTGCAACAACAAGAACGCACACAAATTAAATTAAATTCAACGAAAGATAATGAATATTTTCATTGTAAAATCATCTCAGAAATTTATTCTTTACTTAATATTAAGATCTTTCGTGTGTTAACTATTTCGATAATTCTTGTTTGGTCACTGGATGAAACAAATTTTCTATTTCTCATCGGTCTACTTCAATCATCCGGGTATTCAGAACAACGATCAACATTATTAATTTCTATAATAGGTGTGGCTGATCTAATAGGACAATTATTTTTCGGGTATGAAGATAAAAAATTTCTTGTCATATACATCTTGTATTTCTCCAAAGATATTTGGGTGACATTGAATGCATTGACCCGTTTATTCTATGGACATGCACATCTGTTATTGCTGGTTTAACACTTAGTATAACTCCATTAATTGGATCTTATGGGATTATTGGTTTATGCATAATTTTTGCTATTCATGCTTTCTTCCTTGCTGCTCCAAATGCACTTGGTAATATTATTATGATAGAAATCGTTGGCATGCATCGTTATCCTGTGGCTTATGCTTTTAGTTTGTTTGTTAGTGGATTAACATCTCTATTTGGTTATCCATTACTTGGTAAGTAGAACATATAGATAATTGATGTGTTTTTGTGTTTATTTAGAATGCTTCAAATAGGTTTGCTAAAGGATAAAACACAAAGTTGGATAATACCATTCGCACTTGTTGGTGTAATTATGATATTTGGTGGTCTCGTTGTGGGAACTATTCCATTATATACATTTTATCAGACGCAGAAAAGAAAATCAATTGAAATACCTATGAGTATAGAATCATCGATTCGTGTTTAAGTTTTTTGTAAAAATTTTCAAATTGAAAACAAATTATATAGTTCCGTGAAGAAAAGGGCAGACGACCTTCATTTCATAATTATAAACGTTTATTTGATGATGTTCTTTTTTTTTTAGTGAGATGAAAACATTTATAGTAACATCTAAGCTTAAGGCGAAAATGTTGTTGAATAAAATCATGTTACACATCCTTTCCTTCAAACTCATTATAAGAAAGTAAGCATTAATAATAATAAGAAAAAACGTCAGATGATGTAGCGCTGAAAGCATTAAAAATGTCGTTTCTCATAAGCATCATATATTTTTTTAATGACGATGAAGCTATTCATTTTTATTGAAAATTACATCTTTTTTTAGAAAATCATTCTTTAAGCTCGAGTTAAACACTAACTAAATCATGATGAATCTAATCTTTCGTTAACATATAACTACTTTATGAATTATAGTACCTTGAACAATCATACTCCAAAAAAATTCTAACCATTGCAACGTTGAAAAATCAAGATAATGATCAGCAAAACAAATTTCAATTAAATGAAATAATTTGAGTAAAATCTAAACAGTATTTAAATGAATAAAAATATTAGTTTTTCATAGTTTTAATCGTTGATTTTTATTTTGAAAATGATTTGTTTAGAAAGATAAAAATATAGTCAATCGAAATTCTAAACATTTACAATTCAACTAACTTATTATTAATCATACTAAGTATATCTTGAAAACATGCATAGTAATTTATATAAAATATAAGTTTTAAGAAAAATTTTTATTTGAATTTATTACAACATCAATTTAAATTAAAATAAAACAACATAAAATAAAATAAAATTCTTAATGGTTATTTTATATTTTCAGCTTAAATTAACAGACATACCAATAATTTTAAAATACTAGTTGAATGGCTTAATCATTACATGATGTATTTATTCCGCTTACTGAATCAGAATTTATAGATGAAATTGTATTTAAATAATCTATTTCAAAATCAGTGGTTCGCTGTTGATTAGTAGTTACTTTAATTTTTCCGTGTTTTTTCGAATGACGAATTTTTCTTTCATGTTCTAATTTTGCTTTCTTCGCTAATTGTGCACTGGTTGGCTTTCGACAACAATAAATGGTTAAACATTCGGCACGAAATAATTCACCAAATACACAATATGGAATAAAGTTTGTTGCTGCATTTATAATAGCAATTAAATTTGCTACACTATGAAAACGTCTAACAAATGAACTTGATGATGAATTAAAGAAAGCTTTTATGGTTAATTCAAATGACCATAAAATCCAAAGAACAATAGTTGGACTTCGACATAATAATAATGCTAATACCATAGCAATAACCATTATTGTTATGGAATATTTTGAATGGTGAAAACGACGAGTTTGATGAATAGATTTTTCCGGATGACTCGAATGATGTTTTTTTCTTACACCTTTAGTACGAGATTTACGACGCTTTAAAGCACCAATTAATTGTACATTGCAAAAGATGATTATGAATGTTGGTAATGTATAAACAAATATTGCATTAAAAAATAGATAAGCCCAACGATATGCTCTTCGTTTAGCTAAATCAGTATAACCTTTGGTAACAAGCATACTATTCTTATCAAGTTTTTCATCATTTGTTGCTGCTGCTGATTCATTATCAATATGAACCATTTGATAAACAGTTGGCATTCTTATAACTTCATATTCAAATAATAGTGGAATCGAATAAATACATGCAATTATGAATAATGTTCTTGAAACATATTTTGCTCTGTTTAGCGTACAAAATATTTTCCCATAAACTGGATAACAAATTAATATATATCTATCAATTGTAACTCCTGTTGATATCCAAAATGATAAAACTCGGCTAGCAGCAGCTAAAGCTCCAGATATAATTTCAATTCTACGAAGAAGTATCGTTACTGAGGTACTTTGTCGAGTTTGAACCAAAAATTCGATTATAAGTATTAACATCACTGTTATACATGTTATCATATCAGATAGTGATAGGCTAGTTAAATAGATGAATGTTGATAAGTGTGTACTTAATTTTAATAAAACGACAACCGACATTAAATTACTTAAAGAACCTAAAACAGCAAATATAAAGCTTGCTAATGAGATCCAAAACGAAGAAGGATCCGATGGAGATCGATTGATAGAATTCCATAAGTCATCAAGTTCTTTTTGACCCCAAATAAAAACATTATGTAATGATGAATTACTCATCTAGAAAGCAAATACAAGAAAAATTTATTCGTAAAAAAAAATACACAAACGATTAGTGTTCGAATAGAAAACATATTTTATTGTGATTATGTTAAAAAATCAAAAGAATATCTATACGAATGATTGAAAGTAAAATAATCTTAGTTGCTTTTTAAATTTTTCTGGTGTTTTAATAACATCTAATATACGAACAGTTTTCTTACAAAGGAAATCTAAGCTAATAAACATCTGCTACTGTATTTGTTGTTTTTGTTATTTTTGTTAACAGTCTATAGTCTATAGACTCTTCTAGGTTTTTAATAGTACTTTTTCTATAATCACACACAAAGAGAAATTGATTCTTTTTAATTTAAAATGAATATTAGAAATTACTCACGTTAATTCTTTATGGTTTATATATGGCTCAAGTTAGTTAATAAGAATTTTAATAGAATATATATAATCCTTAGAAGATAAATGTAAATTAAAAAGAAGATTCTATTGTATTCTCTAAATAATTGAACCTTCTTAATACTTATTGAAGCATGATGAAAACTCATTTTTCACCTGAAAGGAAGTCTTAAAAATATAGAGCGATATAAAATGGCTTCTTTATTTCTTTTATAGTGAAAGTTCTCTCTTAAAAAAATATTTCTATTGGTTATAAGAGAAAATCTTCGAAATTTATTTTCTGTTCATAAAAGTTTTAAATTTAATTAAAAATAAGCAAATTCAACTTGGTTTTTTTATAATAGATGAAGATAAAAGCTCCTTTTTAGTTCATTGAATAAAGAATAAAACATAAAGATTTTATTACCAATCTTTTAATAGTTTTGAGTAGAAAAGAAATCTTTCTTTTCAAGACATCAATCTTAAAATAGAGTCACTAAGTGTAGTCGGTATTGTATACAGACGTAATTAATTGCATAGTAATAATTTTGCAAATTGCAAATTTTCGACTTCTATAAAATGTTTCGTTTAATACATCACCGAGTAAATATCTAGTCGACTCACTAACTAAAATTGATCAAGGTATTTAAGTCTTACCAAGTCTTCCATTTCAAATATAGATCTGCCATAGATTATTTCGTAAAGAAATTATCACTCGTGCATAATGATTCTTGCTTATAAGTCAACCAAAAAAAAAGGAAAAAAGAAACACACAGTTATAAAGTATAATGAGAATTACTGACAGATCAATCAATACAAGACAGAAGGAAGTAATTGAAATTCAGCGAAAAAAAACCGGAAGTTCATTTTGAATGACTCCATTATAATTATAATTTTTCTTAATTGGCTGACGAAAACTAGTTAATCAAATGAATTTTTTCTATGTTTATTAAATATCTACTGAAAATGATCTATAAGAAAAAAATTTGTCCTGAAAGCTTATTCATAAATATTTATGAATGAATATCAAGAAGAAAAACATACACGTCGAAGTTCAATGGCGTCACGAATTAACTAGTTCACATGTTGTGGAGAAAGAACAAGGGCGGAAAAGCGAATCGCGGGATTGTGGGATCTTCTGAATTGTATGGATAGTATGGATCGTACGGATTGCCACCGTATCCCGGATACGAGAATATCATGAAAATAGAAAGGATCTAAAAGTGAAATGACGTATTCACGAATCCGATTTTTTTTTCTTGAATAAAAACGGTGACGTAAAAATTACTGAGTACCACAGGTAGAAGTTCATTTATGCCGTTCTAATAGTCAATATTCATGCCACATCACTGAATTTGTCTTCAATCAAACCCATGTAAAAAATAGAGATAAAATCAGATTAAAATCGATTATAATTAGCTATAATCGGAGAAAGCAGTTATCTCGCTGTACTGATAGATTATTATCGATTAAGACTGATTGTAATCAATTCCTATTGAATCAGTAATCGATTAAAAGGTGTATGATGATAATCGATTTAAATTAGCTAAAATCGGTTATAATCGATGCAACAGTTGTTTCCCAATACTACAGCTTACAACAAATTTCAGTTGATTTTTATCTGTCTTTAATCAATCACAAATCGAATAACAGCTGATTCAAAAGTAGCTGTGATGGTTTGAGATCGACATTAGGCACATAATAGCATCTCATCAATTGCTTCCAGTAACGCTGATTTACAATTAGCAAGATTAGACTTATTTTTACTTTTCTGAAAGTACTTTCTCAAGAATTCATTAGTATTCTCTAAATTTCATTATTCAGAATTTTTACTTTGGCAACAAAATAAACTTCTATTTCCTTATTTTCTGCTAAACGAACTGGTGAATCTCCTCTCCGAGAAAAAGAAAGAAATCAATGAAAACAACCGGTATCAAAACGAAAAACAAGTCTGAACATATTCCATTTGAATCAATGGAGCAAAACAAAAAAATGATTTGGTTTGAAAACAAAATTTATCCTTAATATTCGTTTTGAAGCGAAAGGAAGAAATAACGAAAAAACAACTCGACTTTATATTAAAAGGAAACCCGTATTATAATCTAGGAATGTGGAGGTTTTGTGAAATCAATTATTTTTATGGTAAGTACTGTAAAGAGTGTTACTTTTTTCTTTGAAAGGGGTTTGATGTTTCTGGCTATCGTGTATTACATCAGATTTTCGATGCTATTTTCGAGACAATTCAATCATTGTTCTAAATTCAAACCAGGTCATATATGTTGAGATCGTGTTTTTCATGTGCGTAAAGAAATCGAGCTCAGTATCTAAGGTTGTGACTTGTTCTTACATATATCGAGTCTAGATAGGTTGTGACATCATTTTTTGAATAACAAAGATGATAGTTACTGATGTAGAATTGCCTGTGCATGCCGTTCATTGCCAAGTACTGAAGTAATAATCTATCTTTCTAAATTTTCCAGATATCATATTTTTACGAAAGATTTAAACAGTGATTGATTTTACTCTGCTGAAATGAACAATCTTAAAATTACTATGATGACTTTAACTTTAACTTTTATAATGCAACATAATCATAAAAAATCATTACAAATGATTTTCTTCAAACACTTCCTTAATAATTACGAAAAATCAATAAATAAGTGACTTCTGATCGTGGGAATTCTCAAAACAGGTTTTTTCAGTCTAGGATTAGTTTTGCTTGATTTTCGTAAACTATTCTATTGAAAAAATTGAATAACTCCTAATTGGATTTTCAATTTTGCTATTTTAACCTGCATAAAACTCGGTTCGCTATAATATATTCAAAAGCAAAATTGATCCTAATATATTATTAGTACTAGGAGTTTATTTTAAATGAATCTAAATCTCAATGATTATAATCGATTCGCGAAACAAATCAATTTTTGTGGATTTTAAGCGAGAAAAATAATAAAATACTGATGACAATCGATTATTACTCAAAATCGATTCTAATTGATTAATAAAAATCACAGGCAATCGATTATAGTCGCTTTAATCGATGTTATGCGATTAAAGTAAAAAAATCGATTATTATTGGTGAAAAATCTTTGATTCTTAATTAACTTTTAAAAAAATCGATTAATATCTTCAATTCAATCAGAAAAAAATCATAATTATCCGAGTTTCATCAATTATTTGTGGTGCGAATCGATTATAAACAAGAATATGTTGATTTTTCGTGTAAATTGTTTTACATGGGAAAGTTGTTACAGTTGTTTTATTTTGAAATATGTAGTAGAAATAAAATTTTTAACACTCTTGACGTAAATTGTTGACAAACATACTGCTTAGTTCCCAAAGTATGCACATATTGGTGAGAACGCTATCCTCAAATGAACAGATTTGCTTGGTTTTTATAGCAGATACATTCCAACGAAAAAAAATCCGTTTTGTTTGAGCTGCTCAGTGTTTACATGCCCTGACTTCATATAATAAGCGTAAAAAATAACTTCATTAATACGAAGAGATGCACAGCAAAATGATCATTTTTGCAATAGTATATGAATATAGATATTCCATGAAGAAATCGTGCAAGAAAGCTGATATTTTGACTGTAGTAGAATTTCACAGAGCACTTTCTGTGACAAAAATGTAATGCTCTAAATTCTTGAAAACACTAAACTGTCAAGGACAGATTTCACAAAAGACTTTATCAACAGAAGTTCCATTGGTGTGATTTTGAGGTACATAATAAATACCGTAATGTTCTGCAAGAGTTAACATGGGATCTCCTAGAATATGTTTGAGTGACTTATTGTAAGATACTCACAGGCAGAGGCCGCGGAAGTGGGGGTGAGGGAGTGTAAATCCCCCAATAAATGAAAATTTCAATTCTTTCCGTCACCAAGAATAAATTTTCTGTATTTTTTTCACTAAACTTTGTAGAAAATACCCTTTTACACCTCCCCCCCCCCTAGTCTTAGGTCCTTCGCGTGGCCCCTGTTCACAGGTGACCCTTTTCCGTTGAAAATGTACTCGACTTCACTTGAAAATTAATAGAAAACTTTCATAAAGTAAAATAAAAACTATTCAGTAGAAATCAGTATATAATCTTCTATAGGTTCTTCCAAAGACTCCTCTAAAGAGAAAAATAATGAAATTTTCTGAAAATCTCCGTGGGAATATACGAGGATTTTTATAAAAACTTGTTCCAATAAGGATCGCAAGGCATACCAGAAATTCTCAGGCTGATTTTTCATCATTTTCAAAAGATTTTATGAAATTAGGCCGAGTCTCAGGTACTGATTTATACTAGACAAAATTTATTTTGACATGGTGCAGCTTGTCTATGAATTTTTGCATGAAACGGAGCATATTTTGTTACAGAAAATCAGTTATTGTTGAGGATCTTTGAATAAGGTTCGAACGGTCAGTCTACAAAATGTCAGACCAATTTTAGCATTGCTTTATAATGTTCAGTTCATATTTTAAAATTGGTGCTCATAATTGGAGGAAAAATATGTTCCATGATACAGCTCGTCTACTAAAAATATTTACTTCAAATCTAGAATCGATTTTTACGACATTTTCATTTAATCATATGAGTTTATGCTATTCACGCACGTTGGGACCGGTTGATTGGACATCAG